CCCAAGCCAAACATAGACACACACGGGAATAATAATGTTTGGCTTGGGCTACTGTGGTTATATTGTCCCGCAATGCAATCAACAAACATATAGAATTGGACCCCACATACAAACCCGTACAGATCAAAACCGGAAATGACACTACTCACCGTAACGGACCAGACGGTGTAAATTCCAAGTGGAGTTGAATAGCATCGCTTCATCAGAGGCCTCACTGATGAGGTCACCTAGCATGGTGACAAAACGTCTGAACAAAAACAAGCCAGCTCGACGAACAGGTCAACAATCTCATGATCAAATATTAGCAACCAAACATAAAAAGTCATTTTCAAGCTAGATTAATATGCATATAGATAAAACAGTAAAATATGCAATTTTAATGAAAACAAATACAGAATATTTTCTGAAGAAGGGTCTAGACCCGAAACATCAGCTTTCCTGCTCCTCTGATGCTGCTTGGCCTGCTGTGTTCATCCAGCTCTACATACCTTGTTACCTCAAATTCTCCAGCATCAGCAGTTCCTACTATCTCTCTAAAATACTTTGAGGTAGACACTAACTGTACTTCTATAATTGTTTCTAACCATTTTGCTTATTTAACAACTGCACTCTTAAGTTCAAACTCCTATATCCGTTACATGATAATGGATACTTAATACTACAGTCTAAATTATAAAGCAGTGGGCTAGAATTTTTTTGATGCTTCCACTTACAATAGTGACAGGAAGTAGAAAACAGAGAAGTGAAACATCTAAATTTCTCTATCAAAAGACATTACCTGCTCACACCTTTCTCGAATCAAGTGGTATTTTCCATCTTCGTGAGATGGCCTGCACTAACTAGGGAAAATTAGACCAAAGAGACCTTTGTAACGAAAAAAATTAAGATGCCACACTAGTAACAGAATGAAGCTTGCTGTGAATGGAATACCATGTTCTATTTTCCAGTTTATATCAAAGATTTAAATCGACTGAAAGAGGTCTAGACAGCCACGAGGTAGGTCTCTCAAATGTAAAAGCACTGAAGTATAAGAACATTGGGACCTTATTCACTGGAGAATAGGAGATGAGGAGGACTTGACAGTCAAGGTTTTCAAAGGACAAAGAAGATGAATCAAACAAAGTTTTCGGATTGGATACAGGATTAAAGGATGAGGGAACACAACTTACAGGCATTAAAGAAAAAGAATTTGCATTTATGAAAACACCTTATACATGAGCAGAACACCCCAACGCCTACATAGATGTTGCAATTGAGGGTCTTCAAATTTTTACCTGAATGAGTTATTTTCTTCAAGCTACAATAGAGTTTTGATACAAAATCAAATGCAGTAATAATTCCCAAAAGGTTCAGTTTTTCAACATTTGGATTTTAAAAATTGAAGCAGCTTAGACAAATGCAGATAAGGTAGTTTACCTTACAGCAGTTGAACCCTGCTGATGGTTGCTTTCAGTCATCATGTACTATCCACAACAGTTTGAGACATTAGGTCGCTCATCAACTATTTCAACATCAACAGTAAAAATTCAAGACTGGCATGGCTGCTTCAAGCAAGGTCAGCAAGAAAGATTAATCACCTGAAAACTGAAGACTTTCTCTCCAAAGCTGTTGTGTGACCTGAGTGTTTACAGTGTTTGTTTCTAATTCTAGAATTCTAGGTCCTGCAGTAGTTTGCTTTTGGACAAGTTCAACAATGAAGTTAGCTGACAGAACCCGCTCAGGGTTGCAAACAGTTTGCAAGTACGCCTGGCCAATCCAAAGACAGAAGGCTAGTGATTAAACATTTCCTCCCTGCACAGCTAAACAAGGAGTCAATGAATAGAAGAAAGTCATTCACTGAAAGGCATACATTCTCCCTTACACTACAACAGTGATGCGCTTAATCATGCTCTCAGGTTAATCACAGGCATCATATACAAGATTTACTACTCAATTTCAGAAAATATCGGTGATAGAAGCATAGTTACTGAGAGTATTTGAATGAGACGATGGGAAAATTAACTTGAAGTTGTTGGGAAACGTGACAGCAAAGGCCCAACAACAAAAAGAGGGGTAATGAATTAAGACAAGGGCTAAGCTCAATTTCTATTTAGTGGTGCTGAAAGAAGGAATAAGGCAACTGAATCTGGAAGTGACGAAGAAAAAGACCACGTGGGTCTCAGCCATACAACAGCTCAGTCAAGAAATTGTCATGATTGCACTCTTGCTTTGAGCACTTTCAGCCACTACAATGACTTCCCCTCTGATCAAATATGGAAACGTTTGCTTTCGCTCACAGTTTTCAGCACCATTTAACTTTTCCGAAACTGAAGCAGGCCATGGCTGCATGCAAGATACAAACAACATTCAGGGTTGGGCTGGTCAGTGACAAGCAACAGTTGGGCGAGGCAAATCACCAGCTTCAAAGGAGAATCTAACTAACTCCTGAAGCCACTGGAAGCCTTATCACCAGTGAATCATCCACAACAGACATCCCGGGGTTGGCACTAATCCAGAAACTTGAGTGCAGCAGTCATATTGGCCGAGGTTGGAGTGATAAACAGATTTCTGTCTCGTCCCACTCCTTTACTGGCTCTATGTTTTAAATTTAACCAGAGATGATTTGGCCAAATTATACATTTAGATTTAATGCTGAACCAGATTCAACAATTCAATCAACCTTCTTTAGTCAATAAATGACATGTTTATCACAAGAATTACTCCAAACATGCAAAGATTGATAAATCAAAAAAGTTTAGACTGTGCAAAGATAGAACATAGTCTAAAATCTCAAATATAACATGAGGCATAAATAGTTAACCAACAAGAGATGCTTTACAACTCCACAGAAAACATCAGATAGCAAATACGATTCAGCAAATTTCATCGATTTCCACTCAGACTTCAGTGACACTGTGGACTACCAAATCTCATTAAAATTAAATAAATTATTTATTGTCATGTGTATTTTACAGTGAAATACAATTGTGAAAAGCTGTGTCACCATAATGCGGCGTCATTTTGATAGTTTAAGAATAAGAGAGAGTGAAAATACATAGGTTAAATAGAGGTCTACCTACCTACAAGTCTGACCCAGCTCAGGATCACTACTGCCTCACCACACCATACTAACGTCGATGTCGCCGATCCTCAGGTGCCATCTTTCACTACTGGGCCTACCACTTCAGGGTTTGCTCTCTCCTCCATGCTGGGATCATTAATACTTACTAGAATTACAATTGTTCACATTTGATTAACTGGTTGATTCCTGAGCCCTAACCTGGCCCACACGCACCAAACATTACTGGTTGTTGGTTTTCCAAACCTGTTCTCTGCTGCACTGAATCATTAACTGTGCAGTAACACCTTCCATGTCCTTCATAGTTCTGCCCTCACTACACACAGCAGCTCAACTACTTGATGACTTCCCCGAGCCCCAACTACACAGAACAAGTTAACAGTGTTGCTAAAGGTACCTGAACAACAGCCCAACATGGAATTCGCTCCTTGCTCTCTCTCTCACACACACATTCCCCCGCCACCTTCAAGTCTCATTTTTGACTTTTTCCAGCAATATCTGAACTATCCTAACAGACCTATAACAATGCTATTTCTAGACTGAATTTAATGCAAGTAATAATTTGGAACAGTCAAATGTAGCATCCTTAACACCATCTCCACCCCAACTATAAAAACGTATTCAAGTGCTGGTTCTTGCAGCACAAATTGATACAACAAAGGAGACTATCCCAATATAAATACTGTGGCTACAACTGCAAGTCAGAGGCTGAGAGTTCTGGCTATAAAGTAACTCACCCCCAACTCCCAAACCTGTCCATCATCTGTAAGTCAAGTCAGCAATGTGCTGCAATACTCTTCCCTTACCTAGGCAATGTAGCTCCAATAACATTCAAGAAACTTGACACCACTCAGGCCAAAGCAACTGATCAGTATCCTTTACATCTCTGCAAACATTCAATTCCCTCCCCACAAATGCACCATGGTAGCAGAATGTACCATATATTAGATTCATTGCAATAACGTAGCAAGCCTCCTTTGATAGCACCTTCCAAATCCATATCGTCTATACACTTCGAAGGACAATGGCAGCAGATACATGGGAACACCACCATCTGCAAGCTCCACTCCAAGTCACATATTAGCCTTACTTTGAACCACATTACTGCTCCATCAGTTTTGCAATGTTTGTTTTTTTTTTTTAAAAAAGTTTTTTTTAGTTCATGTGTGGAATGAATTTCCAGAGGAAGTGGTGGATGCATTTAGAGTTAATGTTTAAAACAGTTTTGTACGAGTAGATGAATAGAAAAGGTTTGACGGGACAAAAACAAACTTGCTTAAAAAGCTGAGCAGGTCTGGCAGCATCTGTGAAGAAAAAGATCAGAGTTAATGTTTCGGGTCCGGTGACCCTTCCTCAGAACCGGACCCGAAACGTTAACTCTGATTCTTCATCACAGATGCTGTCAGAGCTGCTGAGCTTTTCCAGCAACTTTATTTCTGTTCTGGACTTACAGCATCCGCAGTTCTTCCAGTTTAAGGTTTGGAGGGATATGGGCCACGTGTAAGCAGGTGGGACTAGTTTAGTTTGGGATTATGGTTGGCATGGACTGGCTGGACTGAAGAGGTTGTTTACATGCTGTGTGTTTGCGACGGACTCTAAGCCACCAAGGATAGAGAAGATGTGTTTGCAACTTAGTACAGTATAAAACAAGATATACAAGTCAAAATGAGAGGCTGGCAAGTGGAGCATGGAAGGCCAGCAAGGAGAGAGAGAGTCTGGAAGTGAAGCTGACAGTTTCAGCAGGAATTTTGTTTTTTGTATGGGGAGAAGTAATGTCATGGGGTCAAACAATGTCAGATCTAATTTTACCGAAATGACCAGGGAGGAGGACAGAATCAGTGGTTAAAAATCTGACGGGAGTATTTTGATCTTAAGTGCTGAGAAGAGGCTGATGAGGCTGGGAATACTTCTTCCACTGGAATGTCAGAGGTTGAGGGGTGACCTCAGAGGTTTATAAAATCATGAGGGTACAGAAATGGTGACTAGCAAAGATCTTTGTCCCAGGCTAGGGGAATTAAAACCTAAAGGTCATTTTTTAAGGTGAGAGGAGAAAGATTTAAAAGGGACCGGAGAGGCAACTTGTTCACAGAGGATGGCTCATATTGGGAATGATTTGCCAGAATAGGTACAATTACAACATTCAAGAGACATTTGGATAGATAGATGAGTAGGAAAGCTTCAGAAGGATTTAGGCCAAATGAGGGCAAATGGAAGTAGTTTAGTTTAGTAAAGCTGGTTGACATGGACTAGTTGGACCAACGAGTCTGTTTCCATGCTGTATGACTCCATGAGCCTAAGGAGTTTCTGAATCATCCAAGACTTGATGCCAGCCAGAACATTCGACAAGATGAAAACAGATACGAACACAAAAGTAGTGATGGAGGTGTATGCCTCAATACTTTTACTCATGGTTTTGTAGCTAAGCCAAAGGCAGTTGAGGAGAGATGCTTGGGCAGTTAAAGAGAAACCATGACTTCAACTACACCGATTCTGGATAGACAGACACACACACACACACACACACACATACACACTCAGAAAAGTTGTTTAAATTTTTGCTACTGTAACATGGATGGTAATCCATTTAAAAATAAATGAACTAGTAGCATGATGATTACAAGATGCAACATGTTTCATGTGCTTTCGCACTGAAAAATGTTTAGACAGTCTGGGGTGGATATTTTGCTGAATGGGAAGTATAATGATTCAATATTTTCCACTAGGAAAAACATTTATAATGGAAATTTAATTATTTTCACCATGACTGTATACCAGTAGTACAGCTAGAGTGAGAAGGATCGAGTTACAGCATTAAGGTAATACAAAGTTGATAACCTAACAAATTACAACCAGCATCACTGGATCAAAGTGCTCCATTAATTAAGAACACATTTGCACTCAGTCACTATATTTAAACGATATTGCAATCTTCATTCGGACCTGTCAAAACAGACTTGTGTCAAGTAGCAGCAGTGTTTACTATCTACAAGATGCACTGCAGAAATTCACCAAAGATCCTTAGACAGCAACTTCCAAACCAATTCCAACTAGAAGGAAAAAAGCATCAGACATATGGGAATACCACCACCTTCAAGTCCCCCTCCAAGCCACTCACCATTCTGACTTGGAAATAGATCGGCAGTTCCTTCACTGTCGCTGGGTCAAAATCCTGGAATTTCCTCCCTGGCATTGTGGGTCAACCCACAGCAGGAGGACTGCAGTGGTTCAAGGCGGCAGCTCACCACCACCTTCTCAAGGGCAACTAGGGATGGGCAGGAAATGCTAGCCAGCCAGTGACACATACATCCCATGAATGAATAAAGTACATTACTGCCCTATTATACAGATCAAAATGACCTAACTAGCTTGCTTTCAACTTCAAAACCAGATGAAGCTATGAAATGAAAGCTTGAAAATTAGCATACAACATGAAATATACTTTGTATCTTTATTATATTTTTTAAACAGCCATAATTATTATTTGTGACAAAGCTACATAAATGTCTTTCCACGTATTTCTTTTGTTAATTAGAAATCAAACTTACTAATGCAAACAATATCCACATGGATGCAAGGAATGATCACTCCAAATTTTCTTTACTGACTGCGCTTTATTTTATTTAAACAGCTTTTTAAAAAGCAGATTGCAAAAGGAACACTGCACAACTGTGCGTACACACAGCTTGTAAAGAACAGTAGTTGCAATGCATCCTGAAAATGTTAATACTCCAAATTTTTCAGAATGCATTAGCACCAGTCAGCAGTATGGAGAGGCATTTTTATTTAACAGCTAGTTCAATTCTTTCAAAATTAGTTGAGGAAACACTAGAAAGCAAACTGAACATTTTCTATTAAGAAAATGTGTTTGGACATCATTTGGAGAAATAAAAGCAAACATGCATGCTTAAATATGCATGCAGTAAATACATGGATTAAGTACTTTTAATTCTTTGAAGATATACTAAAGTCAGAAATGTAAGAGTCCCTTTTTTAAAATAGAGAAAAACTTGTCCTCATTTAATTCCTGCTATAACTAATAGAGGCAATAAATTTGTTGGTCCTTAAACCATAAAGCAAAGAAATCCCTCGCTGTTTCTAAACAAGGTCTATACTATTCATGCAAACTACTTTAAGATCATGAATACCATAAGACCGTAAAACTTAGGAACAGAAGTCAGCCATTTAGCCCATCAAGTCTGCTCTGCCATTCACTGGCTGATCTGATAAAACAACTACTTCCCTGCTTTTTCTCCTCGATTCCCATAGTGGTTAAAAATCTGTCCGTCTCAGCATTAAACATGCGTAACAATCCAGCCTCTGCAATCCCGTGGCAAAGAATTCCACAGACGCATTAATCTCGCAGAAAAAATTCCTGCTCATCTGTGTCTTAAATGGACAGCCCCGTTCTGAGATTCTGTCCGCTGGTTCGAGACTCTCCTGCAAGTGAAATCTTACCACATCTACTGTTATGCCTTCCGAGAACCTCATGTTTCAGTAAAGTCTTCTCTCATTCTTTTAAATTCCCATGAGTACAAGCCTGACCTGCTCAACTGCTCTTCAAAACAAAAAACCCATGCCATAGATCACCGTGAGTGGACTGCCTCCAATGCCAGCAAATCTTTCTTTAGATGAAGGGACCAAAGCTATTTGCAATGTTCTATTTATGACCTAACCAGTGCTTTGTATAGCTTTAGCAAGTCTTCCCTTTTTTAGGCTCCATTCTATTTGAAATAAAGGGCAATATTCCATTTGCCTTCCATATTACCTGGTGAACTTAGCTGTTAGCTTTTTGTGATTCACGTGCAAGGACTTCCAATCACTGTGCTAAAGCTTTCTGCAGTCTTCCTCCTTTTATATAAAATTCAGCTTCTCTATTTTTCCTGCCAAAACACATAACCTCACATTTTCCCATATAATATTCATTTCCCAAGTTTTTGCCCATTTACCTAGCCTGTCTATAGCTCTCTATAGACTGTGTCTTCATCACTTTCCCACATATTTTTATGTCATCTGCAAACACTGATAGTAAATTCACTTACCTCATTCAAATCATTAAAATACACTGTAAACAACTGTGGCTACAGCACTGATCCCTGTGACACCCTTATCTCAAATCTGTCTTCTATTATAAACGAGAACAGCAACTGGTTGGAGAAATCAGCAGGTCTCGCAGCATCAGGGGGGAGAAAGGAAGTTAATGTTTCAAATCCAGTGACCCTTTTTCAGAACTGAGTGGATAAGAGTATGCATATATTATATATGCATACTATCTTTTCCTAGCTATCAGTTTTTGTTTTATTTCAGATTTTCAGTACCCACTGTTTAGTCAGCCAATTTTCAAGCTATGCTAATATATTCGTCCAAACACCATGGGCTCCTATCTTAAGTAGCCTAAATTGTGGTACCATATCAAATACCTGTTGGAAATCTAAATACATTAGATGTACAGGTTCCCCTTTATCTACCCCGCTTCTTACCTGCACAACAATTTATTAAGTTTGATTTCCCCTTCATGAAGCCATGCTGACACTGCTTGATTACATAATTTAATTCTACATAAGCTATCACATCCTTTATAACCGACTCTAGCATTTTCCAAATGACATTTTAAGCTAACCGGCTTACAAATCACATTTATGATAAAGTCCAAAGCTTCGGATCAATGACTCTACACAATGGCGAGCTTTCCGTCTGTTTCCACTGACTCTTGTTTGGCTAGATTTCCTAGATGCCACAAAGAGTCAAATTTTGCCTTGATGTCAAAGGTATTCATTTTCACCTCACCTCTTACATATGTCATGGTGTACTTCCATCTGGCAAATTGCAAACTTCCGAGATACCAATGTGTATACCTTGTATTTCTCCTTGCGGATCTTTATAAAACCATTTCATAGCAGCATCATGTGTCAATGGCATGGAGGCAGCTTTAGTTCGTTTATCCTCAATTTGTGTTGACAGTCTATCATCATCTAAGGCATTATCCTGCAGTGATGCTACCATCTTCTCCGCTTCCTGAATGGGAAAAATTATATTTTCATTATGTAAAATAGTGACCAGTATCCAGGGTTCAGTTTAAATCTCCTGAACAGACATGTATATTTGTGATTATTCAAGTCTGGATTGCTTGCATATTTCACTATAAGCTCTCATATACCCATACAGTTCCAAAGAAATACAAACTCTGTTTCTCTCTCCAAAAATAACAGCTGCAGCTGGACATGGTGAAACTATCAGCTTTTTCTGTTTTTCCCAGATATTATTCAGTTTTCCAAATGCATATTTGAAATGTGACAGTTGAATGAGCTTCCCTTCCTTGGTAGCATAGTTGTGAGATCCAACAGGGGGTTCTCTACTGCTGTCTATTAAAAATGTCTTTGCTAGTTAGCATACATTCTGGGATTCCTGCTGTTGCACATGCTATAAGACTGGCCTTGTTGTCAATATGTATATAGGGTCCCAAGCCATTTGTTCACTGTGCAAACTTGATGCTGAAAGAGAGTGTAAAGCCATCCTTTTGGAGAATGGCTAATCTGATCAGATCATTTTTCATTTTATATCACACAAACTCATAAAAGGCAATGACAGCCAATTTAGGATTGTCAGACAGGCTTGCAATGTACTGCATACAAATGTGCTAGAAACGACACATTAATACAAAGGGCCCTGTTTTTTGCAGACAAAAATAAAATGTAGATGCACTGTGATAACAAGGTGTAGAGCTGGATGAACACAGCAGGCCAAGCAACATCGTAGGAGCAGGAAGGCTGAC